CATGTCACACGCGCCCAGGACTTAGACCCTTAGGAGGTTGTGGGTTTAGCGTTCTGTGCTTCGGGTGCAGAGCCTGCTTTGGTAGATTCGACGTCTTACGCAACTCTGCGCGCCACACTCGTCATGTTGTGTGGATCCGTTCGCTTACACCTTCCCTAAGCCCGAAACCGCTCGGCTGCGCCGCGTTGCGCGCTGCCGGGTCGGCGGTTGTTCCTGCAAGGGACCCTAAGGGTCCATATAGGAAGAAGACATAAACCCGAAATCCGTTCTCTTTACAGCTTTTTGTTAAACAGCATTAAAAGAAATCTTTGCCTTGTCTCTTCTGTGGACTTGATCTAGTAAATATGGACCCTTACGAGGAGGGGCGCCGCACTGCACCTCGAGAGAAAGCAACGCCTCCACTTTTGAAGGTGGCCATCCTCTGTGCCTGAAGGCACAAGGTTTCCTTGTCGTTTCACGAAGAGGCTGCTGTCCAATTTGCTCAAGAAGCGATTCAGCACTTAGGGTTTAGGGTTTGACACGTCGCACTCAAAATTCAAGACTCCAGCACAACTTGTTCTGTGTCCGACCGCAACAGCCGAAGGCTTGCGTACGACTATTACCAGCGATTTGCAATCGTGCTGCAAACGAAAAAACATTCTGGCTGCGTCCAAGTACACATTTTAGGAAATCGAAGTGCTAACAGCACCTGTCTGACAGATCTGCAGCTCTTGGGTTGGAACTCAAGGGCTTTGGCTCCTATAGGTTTTCGTCATGTCCGTTGTTCCACTTCCCGCTGCGCTTGATGTGGTACCCATGCTTCCAGCAAGCCCGCCAGCACCGCTAGACGCAGGAGCCCCATCTGCCAGTGAGGAAGCCCCTCCTCCCGCTGCGCGAGAAGTGGTACCCATGCTTCCAGCACCGCTAGACGCAGGAGCCCCATCTGCCAGTGAGGAAACCCCTCCTCCCGCTGCGCGAGAAGTGGTACCCGCGCTTCCAGCAAGCCCGCCAGCTAGACGCAGGAGCCCCATCTGCCAGTGAGGAAACCCTGTCGAAGGCAGCGGTGGAAGGCTTTCAACGGCCGGCGATGCAAGATGCAGATCAGATCTTTGCTGCGGCGCAGGACCACTACCTGCATCTGGACATGGCGAGGCAAGATCCCGAGCGCTTGAAACGCCTGCA